TCACGCCAATCGGAGGTCTCACCCCTCACCGTAACTCTCTGGTTCCTATTGCTTAGGTACTCCCTTATCCACTGGAGCACCTTACCAGCTACACCTGCCTTTCTCTCCAGCTTATATACCAGCCTCTTATGCGGTACTGTGTCAAAGACTTTCCGACAATCCAAAAAAATGCAGTCTGCCCAGCCTTCTCTTTCTTGCTTAATCTTTGTCACCTGGTCGTAGAATTCTATTAAGCCAGTCAGGCAAGATTTACTTTCTCTGAACCCATGTTGGCGATTTGTCACGAAGTCCCTTCTCTCCAGATGTGTACTAGGTTTTTTCTCAAGATCTTCTCCATTACCTAGCATGGTATACAAGTTAAGGACACTGGCCTGTAGTTCAGTGCCTCTTGCTTGTCTTCCTTTTTGTATATTGGGACCACATTCGCCGTCTTCCATATTTCTGGTAGGTCTCCCAGTTCCAGTGACCTACTATACACTATGGAGAGGGGCAAGCAAAGTGCCTCTGCACACTCTTTCAGTACCCAATCCGAGATCCCATCTGGACCAACAGCCTTTCTAACATCCAAATCTAGCAGGTGTCTCTTTACCTCCTCTCTCGTAATTTCGAACCCTTCCAAGGCCGCCTGGTTTACTTCCCTTTCTCCTAGCACAGTGACCTCACCTTGTTCTTTTGTGAAGACCTCCTGGAACCTCTTGTTGAGTTCTTCACACACACCTCTGTCATTCTCTGTATACCTGTCCTCGTCTGTTCTAAGTTTCATTACTTGTTCTTTCACTGTTTTCCTCCTGATGTGACTATCGAGTAGCTTTGGTTCGGTCTTGGCTTTGTTTGCTATATCATTTTCATAATTTTACTCTGCTTCTCTTCTCACCGTAACATACCCATTCCTGGTTCTCTGGTATCTCTCTCTGTTTTCTGGTGTTTCTGTTATTCCGGAAGTTCCTCCACGCCCTTTTGATCAGTCCCTTTGCTTCCATACATGCCCTATTATACCATGGATTCTTCTTTTGCTTCTCGAATTTTTCCCTTTGGGCCAGGATGATTCTGTTTACTGCCTCCTGACACTTTTGGGTGACATAGTCCATCATATCTTGTACAGACTTAGCTCTGATGTCTGTGTCCCAAGGTATTTCCCTTAGGAAACTTCTCATCTCTTCATAGTTCCCTTCGGTATGCCAGCCTTTTGTTTCAAAGTTCTTTTTTGGGGGAGATAATTCCTAGGTCTACCAGGTACTCAAAGTTCAATACACTGTGGTCACTCATTCTCAAGGGTACTTGCATCTTAACTTCCCTTATATCCCACTCATTTAGGGTAAATATCAGATCAAGCATTGCTGGTTCACCTTCTCTAATTCTTGTTGGGTTCTTGATGTGCTGGCTTAGAAAGTGTCTTGTTCCCACGTCCAGCAACTTAGCTCTCCATGTTTCCGGTCCTCCATGCAGATCTCTATTCTCCCAATCTATCTTCCCATGGTTGAAGTCTCTCATGATTAGTAGTCCAGTTCCATTCCTGCTAGCAACAGAAGCTGCTTTCTCTATTATGTTAATGGTGGCCATGTTGTTTCTATAATATTCCTGTCTGGGTCTTCTGTCATTTGGTGGTGGATTATATATGACTACAACTAATTTTTTGTCCTCCAGTTGTTATGGTACCTGTTATGTAGTCACTGAAACCTTCACAGCCCTGAATAACCATCTCAAAATCCCAGCCTTTTCTTACCAGCAGAGCTACACCACCACCACCACCTCTTCCTTCTCTTTTTCCTCATAACACAATAGTCCTGTGGATACACTGCATTTGTTATGGTTTTCGTTAGCTTTGTTTCTGTAAGTGCTATTATGTCTGGGTTTTCTTCTAGTACCCATTCTCCTCGTTCATTTGCTTTATTTGTAATTCCATCTATGTTAGTGTACATTGCCTTGAGGCTCACCTTCTGTCCCTTCTCAAATCGCCTCCTTGGTGAGTGTTCTGTTGGTGGGGGAAGCTGTTCCATGGGTGTGAGGATTTGTGAAGTGGATAACAGGGTCTCAGAAGGTACTGGGGTGAGGGGCGGGGGGTCAAGTGAAGGGAGGTGGACAGGGTGGGTATGGGATGAAGAGGGAGGGGGGAGGACAGGAAGGAAAGGGGGGGAGGGGTAGCAGGGTGGGAATGGGGGGTGTAGATTTGGTGGGGAGGGAGATTTGGCTGAGCATTTGAGTGAAGGCAGGGAGGGTTTAGGGTAGGGGGTTTTCTATGCAAAGGAGGGTGGTGGGGTTGCCCCTCCCCTCTGGTATTACTGGGTAGCTGGTTCCCCCCTCACCTCTGGGGATGTTGTGTTGGGAGTTGTGATTTCCTGGTTTTCCCCTTTCGCCCTGTGCTTCTTCCTTGCTTCTGTCGCCATGGCTCTCTCCTCCCTTATCATGTCCCTCTGGAGGAATACTTTTTTTTTAATTCTCCCACATATTGCAGGTAGCTCTTCCTTGTTAGAATCATCTCCTTTGTGTTCTCGTTTGCAAACACTATCTTTAACACACGGTCTCGGTCTTTTTTGTACCAGCCTAGCCTGAAAACCTTTTCAATTCTATGCTCAGCCCCTTCCATCTCTAGTGCCTTCAGTATTTCAGTCACTGCCGTGTTGTCCTTATCATTCCACTCTGTCCTATTGGAGCCATCCTGCTCTTTAATAACCACAGCTATCACTGATCTTTTTCTTTCCTGCAGCTGGCTAGTGGAGTGTGCCGCTTCCTGTGAGGTGGCTGCTTTCATGGCCACCTCCATCATTGTGGACATTACTTCAGTTTTTATTTTTTTAGCATTTCTGCAAATGTTGTTTTTATAGTGGCATTCTCTTCCAGAATACTATTTCCACCTTCTCCCTCGATGATTATCTTAGTCTCAGCATCAACACTGTTCTCCTCGAGGATTCTAATCATCTCCTTTGCTGCTGTCAACTCTCTTTTCAGGTTGCTTATTTCATTCTTCATTTCCTGCATCATTCCCTGCATCTCACTCTTGATATCCTCTAAAAACTTTGCAAACATTTCTTTCATTTCATCACCTTGACTTTTCCCTGTGTGTGTGTGTGTGTGTATTTACCTAGTTGAACCTCACATCCCTGGAAACGTGTGTTAAACCTCGTGTTGAAACACGTGTGTGTGTGTGTGTGCTCACCTATTTGTGCTTGCAGGATCGAACATTGACTCTTGGATTCCGCCTTTCCAGCGATCGGTTGTTTACAGCAATGACTCCTGTCCCATTTCCCTATCATACCTAGTTTTAAAAGTATGAATAGTATTTGGTTCCACAACCTGTTCCCCAAGTGCAGTGTGTGTGTGTGTGTGTGTGTGTGTGTGTGTGTGTGTGTGTGTGTGTGTGTGTGTGTGTGTGAGATTTGTGAATGATATTTTCACTATTACCTGATAATTGACTATTAATAATTTATAGTGTTGGGTAAAGGAAAAGTTCTCCGTTACTAGTTTAAGTTCTTAGTGAACTCTGGCATATTTTTCTTCATAATTATTCTAGTCTGTTGTATTAATATTGATGTTGAAGCCGCAGCTGACTGAAATCCGTCTTCTTATTCACTTTTAATTTGTAATCATTTTGTCAGGGGGGGGGGGGGACAAGCAGCCTGTGTATGTATGTAAGTTAGGCTTATTTCCAGGTCGATTTCCTTATCTCTAGATCGACCTACTGACCCTCCACCAAGATGCTTTTCCACAACAGTTGACTAACTCCTGGGTACCTATTTACTGCTAGGTGAACAGTCTTATTAGGTAAAAGGAAATGCGGCCATTTCTGTCCCCCACGGGATTCGAACCCGGGAAAACAAATTGCGAGTCGAAAACGAACCCACCTCTATCACCGAGGTTGATTACGGTCGTCGAACCCTAATTAAAGTGTATATAGTGCTCTTTTCCCTCTGGTGAGTGTGGGAGACATGGGGGCGGGGAGTGTTGAGGAGTGTGTCCTGGCTCTAGGAAATACATTATAGTTGAGAGGTTCCATCATGTATCCGTCTGAGGCTAGGTGATGATGATATCACCTGAAGCTAGGTGATGATGATATCACCTGAAGCTAGGTGATGATAGTGGTTTTACAAGAATGTAAAAACATCAATGCTATGTACTCTCAACTGAATGTACCTTTTTGTATTATTAATATAAATAAATAAATAAATAAATAAATAAATAATTATCAGGAAACCAGCTGGATAATGATGAAGTTAGGAATTCTGAATACAATTTCAGAATCGTATTCAGTGGGGGTATTAATTAATCATTCCATCTCCTGCAATTATAGTGCTTATAGTAACTATTTGGTCAAAGCTACCAATGTTTACTAATGGAACACCAGTAAGCCACATATTGTACTTATAATTTTATATAGTCAGAAAATAAAGCTGATAACAAAACTTAAACATTCTTAGGCCTGTTATAGCACATATATGTACTATATAAGGCCTAAGAGAGCCTGTATAATGTCTAGGATTGGTATTAGAGGTCATGTCCTCTCACAGTTTCGGGACATTTCTCTTGGCTGCGGTCGGTAGGAAGAATAAGACGTTTGTCTGTGGACCGCAGACGAACATAAGGTGTGAACACCGTTGAACACTGAATGCAGAATAGAACCAGTGAAGAGCAGAGGTGCCATGGGCACAATCAGAGAACACTGTATGAACACCAGAGGTCTACGGTTGTTCAACGTCCTCCCAGCAAGCATCAGAAATATTGCCGGAACAACCGTGGACATTTTCAAGAGGAAACTAGATTGTTTCCTTCAAGGAGTGCCGGACTAACCGGGCTGTGGTGGGTATGTGGGCCTGCGGGCCGCTCCAAGCAACAGCCTGGTGGACCAAACTCTCACAAGTCAAGTCTGGCCTCGGGCCGGGCTTGGGGAGTAGAAGAACTCCCAGAACCCCATCAACCAGGTACCATAACTCCCAGTGTTCAACCGTTGTTCACAGGGAGTGAACATCACAAAGGACACAGGCCTCAGACGCGGGTTCACCACTCACCTCACACTCATATTCGCCAGAATCTGAAGTCTTCAGATAATGAAATGTGATGTGATCTCCGCTGGTTGTTCCGGAGCCTGGCATCACCTCCAGCATCTTATTGTCCTAAACAGAATGACAAACATTTTTACTTGGAAATGGACTTGCAAACACATATTACAATATATATTTTTATAAGAAACCACTTACACTATGGCTGAATTATTTGTTACATATATTACCTCTTATTACAGTACTCAACATTGACTACTTAAGACCCTCACTACAGTTACATCACTCAATGGAAATTCAACACTGATTTCTTCATTTCAACACTCGCCAGGGTTCCAAGCGTAAACTCAACATGACCGGTCACTTGTGTTGACTACTACCATAAAGGGTTTACCTTGTACCAGGTGACCTGAGGGACGGGCTCACCCTCGGCGCTGCACTCTAGGGTCAGGTTACTCATCTCCTTCATGTTGTGGTCTTGAAGAGGCGACCCAACACCAGTCTTCCACGTGGGCGCCACCATCGCTGTACCAGATGTGTCGTATAAAGTGAAAATAGAACTGTTTATGTATGGACGCAATATGAGCTCAGGAATGACTAATTTATTTCATATTATACATTATATATATAACAAACACTAAGATAAAGCATATAAAACGCTAAGATAAAGCACATAACACTAAGATAAAGCACATAACACTAAGATAAAGCACATAACACTAAGACAAAGCACATAACACTAAGATAAAGCACATAAACACTAAGATAAAGCACATAACACTAAGATAAAGCACATAAACACTAAGATAAAGCACATAACACTAAGATAAAGCACATAAACACTAAGATAAAGCACATAACACTAAGATAAAGCACATAACAAAACACTAAGATAAAGCACATAAACACTAAGATAAAGCACATAACACTAAGATAAAGCACATAACACTAAGATAAAGCACATAACACTAAGACAAAGCACATAACACTAAGATAAAGCACATAAACACTAAGATAAAGCACATAACACTAAGATAAAGCACATAAACACTAAGATAAAGCACATAACACTAAGATAAAGCACATAACAAAACACTAAGATAAAGCACATAACAAAACACTAAGATAAAGCACATAACATAACACTAAGATAAAGCACATAACATAACACTAAGATAAAGCACATAACATAACACTAAGATAAAGCACATAACATAACACTAAGATAAAGCACATAACATAACACTAAGATAAAGCACATAACAAAACACTAAGATAAAGCACATAACACTAAGATAAAGCACATAAACACTAAGATAAAGCACATAACACTAAGATAAAGCACATAACAAAACACTAAGATAAAGCACATAACAAAACACTAAGATAAAGCACATAACATAACACTAAGATAAAGCACATAACATAACACTAAGATAAAGCACATAACAAAACACTAAGATAAAGCACATAACATAACACTAAGATAAAGCACATAACATAACACTAAGATAAAGCACATAACACTAAGATAAAGCACATAAACACTAAGATAAAGAACATAAACACTAAGATAAAGCACATAAACACTAAGATAAAGCACATAACACACTAAGATAAAGCACATAACACTAAGATAAAGCACATAACACTAAGATAAAGCACATAACATAACACTAAGATAAAGCACATAACATAACACTAAGATAAAGCACATAACATAACACTAAGATAAAGCACATAACATAACACTAAGATAAAGCACATAACATAACACTAAGATAAAGCACATAACAAAACACTAAGATAAAGCACATAACACTAAGATAAAGCACATAACACTCAGATAAAGCACATAACACTCAGATAAAGCACATAAACACTAAGATAAAGAACATAAACACTAAGATAAAGCACATAAACACTAAGATAAAGCACATAAACACTAAGATAAAGCACATAACACACTAAGATAAAGCACATAACACACTAAGATAAAGCACATAACACTCAGATAAAGCACATAACACTCAGATAAAGCACATAAACACTAAGATAAAGTACATAACACACTAAGATAGTAATAGTAAGCATCCATCAGTCTCAGGAGACTAAGGAGTTGCGCTCTACCCTATCGGTCTCCACGCCACAAAGCCAGGGTAGGTATATTATAATTTATAATAAAACACATAAGAAAACACTAAGGTAGAGTACAGTCGAGCAAAAGTATTCCTCTATCCTTCAGTTTCTTGGAAAGTCCAAAAATGGCAACGTCGCTTTTGTTGTTGTCGTAGTATTGGGTTAGATTATAAATGGGCGTTTTGTAACGACGCGTCTCATTGGTCAAAACACCACACAACGGTTTATATAATTCACACTGCTATCGAGAGGACAATGTTTAAAACAGTGAATAAAATTGAGTTCATCCTTGATAAAGAGGATGCACTCTGGAGTTGACTCGTGGATTGGTCTGGGGAGAGTGAAGGTCCCACATTCTTTCAATCAAACGACGTCACTTTCTGCTATAGTTTGATGGTTAAACAGCCATTGTGGGAAGCTGGTTTGTTTTAAGAAGTACTAGTTTGTCGAATTACATATATCATCACGTAGTCCACGGTCAGCGTAAGCTATTCATCACATGACGATGAATTGCACGCGAAATATGATCGGACATTTCACATGTCTGGTGTGTTTGTAATGTGTTAGTCAATGTGTTTCTCTGAGTGTGTGTCTTCTCTCCTCTCCCTTTTTCCTTCTTCCCTCTCCCTCTCTCTCTCCCCCCCTCTCTCTTTCCCCCCTCTCTCTCTCTCTCTCTCTCTTTCCCCCCTCTCTCTCTCTCTCTCTCTTTCCCCCCCCCTCTCTCTCTCTCTCTCTCTCTCTTTCCTCCCCCTCTCTCTCTCCCCCCTCTCTCTCTCTCCCCCTCCCTCCCTCTCTCTCCCCCCTCTCTTTCCCCCCTTCTCTCTCTTTCCCCTCTCTCCTCCCCCCCCCTCTCTCTCTCGCTCCTACATATTGTCATTGTTTCGTCCCCCTTTCCTTCCTTATGTGGTTAGGGTTATTCCCACGGGGTCTTCGCCCCCTTGTACCTGGGCGCCACTGCTTACCCTGCCCCCCCCCCACCAGTCTACCAAGGGCTGGCCTTGAATTGGCGAGTGGGGAAATCCAGCCTTACCTCTGTCACTCTCGGTTGGCTTTGCCCGCCATGACACTGGGAAGATATACAGGTAAATCTTCACCTCTTCGTTCAAGGTCGCCAGCTGGGTGTTTATATTCGTGTCCCAGCAACACTTCTCAGTGGTCTTACTCGTTATCGCAGCCCAAGGATGCAATCTTGGATGCAATGCAGTGCAACATTAATGGTTTACTCAAATAGCCCTAGAGATGAAGGCTCACTCAAGCACAGTCTTAAAATCGATAAGTTTGCTGAAGAAAACTACATTGAATCCGCATAGAGATTGATATACGTGGAATTGTTAGACAGCTGCCACACTCCTCACCCGCCTCTGGTAACACAGTAAACAGTTCATCCCCGCCCAAAGGGAAAAATCCGAGAAGCAAAAGAAGAATCCATGGTATAATAGGGCATGTATGCAAGCAAAGAGACTGAACAAAAGGGCGTGGAGGAACTAACGGAATAACAACACTAAAATAGCAGAGAGAGAGAGAGAGAGAGAGATACAAGAGAACCAGGAATGAGTATGTTAGAGTGAAAAGAGAAGCAGAGAAAAATTATGAAAATGATATAGCAAACAAAGTCAAGACCGAACCAAAGCTACTCCACAGTCACATCAGGAGGAAAACAACAGTGAAAGAACAAGTAATGAAACTTAGAACAGGCGAGGACAGGTATACAGAGAATGACAAAGAGGTGTGTGAAGAATTCAACAAAAAGGTTCCAGTAGGTCTTCACAATAGAACAAGGTGAGGTCACTGTGTTACGAAAAAGGGAAGTAAACCAGGCGGACTTGGAAGGGTTCGAAATTACGAGAGAGGTCAAGAGACAGCTGCTGGATCTGGATGTTAGAAAGGTTGTTGGTCCAGACGGGATCTCGCCATGGGTATTGAAAGTGTGCAGAGGCACTTTGCTTGCCACTCTCCATAGTATATATACCAGAAATATGAAGACGGCGAATGTGGTTCCAATATACAAAAAGGGCGACAGGCAAGAGGCACTGAACTACAGGCCAGTGTCCTTGACTTGTATACCATGCAAGGTGATGGAGAAGATCGTGAGAAAAAACCTAGTAATATATCTGGAGAGAAGATACTTCGTAACAAATCGCCAACATGGGTTCAGGGAGGGTAAATCATGCCTGGCTGGCTTAACAGAATTCTACGACCAGGTGACAAAGATTAAGCAAGAAAGAGAAGGCTGGGCTGCCTTCATTTTCTTGGATTGTCGGAAAGGCTTTAACACAGTACCGCATAGGAGGCTGGAACATAAGCTGAAGAGACAGGCAGGTGTAGCTGGTAAGGTGCTCCAGTGGATAAGGGAGTACCTAAGCAATAGGAACCAGAGAGTTACGGTGAGGGGTGAGACCTCAAATTGGCGTGAAGTCACCAGTGGAGTCCCACAGGGCTCTGTACTCGGTCCTATCTCGTTTCTGATATATGTAAATGATCTCTCGGAGGGTATAGATTAATTTTTCTCAATATTTGCTGACGATGCCAAGATTATGAGAAGGATTAAGACAGAGGAGGACTGCATGAGGCTTCAAGAAGACCTAGACAAGCTGAAGGAATGGTCGAACAAATGGTTGTTAGAGTTTAACGCAAGCAAATATAATGTAATGAAGATAGGTGTAGGGAGCAGGAGGCCAGATACAAGGTATCATCTGGGAGAGAAAATTCTTCAAGAGTCAGAGAGAGAAAAAGATTTGGGGGTTGACGTCACGCCAGACCTGTCCCCTGCAGCACATATCAAGATTAAAACATCAGCGGCATATGCCAGGCTGGCCAACATAAGAACGGTATTCAGAAACTTGTGTAAGGAATCATTCAGAACTTTGTATACCACATATGTCAGGCCAATCCCGGAGTATGCAGCCCCAGCATAGAGTTCATATCTAGTTAAGGATAAGACTAAACTGGAAAAGGTTCAAAGGTTTGACCACCAGACTAGTACCCGGGCTGAGAGGTATGAGCTACGAGGAGAGACTACGGGAATTAAACCTCACTTCGCTGGAAGACAAGAGTTAGGGGGGGGGGACATGATCACCACATTCAATATTCTCAAGGGAATTGATAGGGTAGATAAAGACAGTCTATTTAACACAAGGGGAACACGCACAAAGGAACACTGGTGGAAACTGAGTGCCCAAATGAGCCACAGAGATATTAGAAAGAACATTTTTAGTGTCAGAGTGGTTGACAAATGAAATGCATTAGGAAGTGATGTGGTGGAGGCTGACTCCATACACAGTTTGAAGTGTAGATATGATAGAGCCCAATAGGTCCAGGAACCTGTACACCTGTTCATTGACGGTTAAGAGGCGGACCAAAGAGCCAGAGCTCAACCCCTGCAAGCACAATTAGGTGAGTACAGTCAGCTGGACGATTCAAAAGTTCGCTCCTGGCCTCTCAAATCCAATCACTTCCTCAAGCTGCCCAAAAGGTCACTACGCCCACGTGAATATTATATATATATATATATATATATATATATATATATATATATATATATATATATATATATATATATATATATATATATATATAATGTCATATTAAGTCATACCTACATGAGTAACCTGGCTCCTAGCCTAACTCTCTACCACACTGGTAGTAATAATAAAGACGATGTTCACGACATGAAAGATATCCCAGCTCACCTAGATCAAGGGGTAATGGGAGGGAAATTTATCTACCTTAATTCTTTCTGCTACGAAGCCGACCTATCCTCTGGCGAGGGTCGTCGAGGTCCTCGGTCCTGGCATTCGGTCCTCCGTTGATCAGGTTCCACACACAAGATCCTCTGTCGGCTCATAGATGCGCGTCCTCGCCGTACCCACACTCTGCAGCCAGGTCCTCCTCCTCCTCTTGAGGTACTGGAGACAGGTCCCTGAGCACGTCGTCTTCTTCCTCCCACATTGGAACGGTAGACAACTTACAGTCTGGTTCAGTGTCCCCTTCTTGGTTTACCAGTGGGCTTGACCCCGGGCACAGCAGCTCGCCTGATTCGTTTGAACGTGGCCCGCTAGGCGTCCCAGATGTCGCAGCCTAAAGTTCGTCTCCGCTACAGACTATCAGTAAGAGAGCTCTTGGCGCTCTAACACCAGCCAAACCCCTTCCATGTACTCTACAGGAGTCAGGTGACCTCCCACAACCTGCAGTATCAATGCGGCTGCTTGGGTCCACTGGTTGGGGTCTTCCTAGCCTCTAAATCGGGAGCACACTTGAGCGCGGCCGCTCTCTATGACGGGCCGTGACGTACTGAGCTCGCAGGGACGCCTGCCGCCCAGAACCCTCTGCCTCGTGACGTCGCTCCACCCCATTGGTCCATGATGTCACGTGACCCTACCTGGCCAATCAACAGCCGGCAGGCGTCACGCTCCTTAGGAGGGAAACGGAGCGCCTCGGCGCCATCTTTTAACTCAGAAGGGCGTAAGCCACTTGTATAACCAAACTAAAACGGCAAATTCACTGCCAACACGATAACGTTCCATACCTTCGTATATATCAAAATGGTCCCTGAACATCAGTGAACGTTTAGGTTGCAGAGATATGACTCTTGAAGCTGGGACAGGAAAGATATAGGGGTGGAACACCGTCACATTATAAATAAAATATAAATATAAATATTTTGGATATCTGAAAATACCAATTAATTCTAGAAATACAAAGCTGTCTAGATCGCTAACGTCAACAAGACTTAAATATAGATGCGATCTGAAACTTATAATATTGGGCTAGTTCCCAGCGAAGCCTAATTACTGTTATTCATTTTACAAGTTTTATTTTATTTTATTTATTTTATAGGGTACAGAATAACAGGTTTTACATTATCATTTAGTTCTATTATTTCCACTTATAATGTTACTTTTATTTATTTACGTCCTATATTTTACTCATCATTTTACTTTGATATTGAGCAGATTTTACATTTACTCATTAAATTTATTATACTTTTACTTATATTAAGCACATTTAACGTTTGCTTATATTAAATAATTATTTAATTATTTAATTAATTAATTATATTTTAGCCCAGTGCGAGTATCAATCACGCTACCCAAAAAAGACAAAACACGGCCGAACTGAAAGATCCAGCGTGGAAAAATTAATAGGACAAATAATGGCTTCGATAAGCAGCCAGCTTCATGTCACTGTATGTATTGTATTCAAAATTACCTGAATACATTCGACTGCCCTTATCTCATAGTAGGTAAGTCTGTTGCATCTCCAGCCAGTCACAACTCAACCATAAACATGTGTCGCCCTATAGACATGTAGACCCGCCCTATGGACATGTAGACCAGCCCTATAGACATGTAGACCCGCCCTATGGACATGTAGACCAGCCCTATGGACATGTAGACCCGCCCTATGGACATGTAGACCAGCCCTATAGACATGTAGACCCGCCCTATGGACATGTAGACCAGCCCTATGGACATGTAGACCCGCCCTATGGACATGTAGACCAGCCCTATGGACATGTGGCCCAGCCCTATGGACATGTAGACCCGCCCTATGGACATGTAGACCAGCCCTATGGACATGTGGCCCAGCCCTATGGACATGTAGACCAGCTCTATGGACATGTAGACCAGCCCTATGGACATGTAGACCAGCCCTATGGACATGCAGACCCGCCCTATGGACATGTAGACCAGCCCTATGGACATGTAGACCCGCCCTATGGACATGAAGACCAGCCCTATGGACATGTAGACCCGCCCTATGGACATGTAGACCAGCCCTATGGACATGTAGACCAGCCCTATGGACATGTAGACCAGCCCTATGGACATGTAGACCAGCCCTATGGACATGTAGACCCGCCCTATGGACATGTAGACCAGCCCTATGGACATGTAGACCCGCCCTATGGACATGTAGACCAGCCCTATGGACATGTAGACCAGCCCTATGGACATGTGGCCCAGCCCTATGGACATGTGGCCCAGCCCTATGGACATGTAGACCCGCCCTATGGACATGTAGACCAGCTCTATGGACATATAGACCAGCCCTATGGACATGTAGACCCGCCCTATGGACATGCAGACCAGCCCCTATGGACATGCAGACCAGCCCTATGGACATGTAGACCAGCCCTATGGACATGAAGACCAGCCCTATGGGCATGTAGACCAGCCCTATGGACATGTAGACCCGCCCTATGGACATGAAGACCAGCTCTATGGACATGTGGCCCAGCCCTATGGACATGTAGACCAGCCCTATGGACATGTAGACCAGCCCTATGGACATGTAGACCAGCCCTATGGACATGTAGACCAGCCCTATGGACATGTAGACCAGCCCTATGGACATGCAGACCAGCCCCTATGGACATGCAGACCAGCCCTATGGACATGTAGACCAACCCTATGGACATGCAGACCAGCCCCTATGGACATGCAGACCAGCCCTATGGACATGTAGACCAGCCCTATGGACATGTAGACCAGCCCTATGGACATGCAGACCAGCCCTATGGACATGCAGACCAGCCCCTATGGACATGCATACCAGCCCTATGGACATGTAGACCAGCCCTATGGACATGTAGACCCGCCCTATGGACATGAAGACCCGCCCTATGGATATGTAGACCAGCCCTATGGACATGTAGACCCGCCCTATGGACATGAAGACCAGCCCTATGGACATGTAGACCCGCCCTATGGACATGTAGACCAGCCCTATGGACATGTATACCCGCCCTATGGACATGAAGACCAGCCCTATGGACATGTAGACCCGCCCTATGGACATGAAGACCCGCCCTATGGACATGTAGACCAGCCCTATGGACATGTAGACCCGCCCTATGGACATGTAGACCAGCCCTATGGACATGTTGACCCGCCCTATGGACATGAAGACCAGCCCTATGGACATGTAGACCCGCCCTATGGACATGTAGACCAGCCCTATGGACATGTAGACCCGCCCTATGGACATGCAGACCAGCCCTATGGACATGTAGACCAGCCCCTATGGACATGCAGACCAGCCCTATGGACATGTAGACCAGCCCTATGGACATGAAGACCAGCCCTATGGACATGTAGACCAGCCCTATGGACATGAAGACCAGCCCTATGGACATGCAGACCAGCCCTATGGACATGAAGACCCGCCCTATGGACATGTAGACCAGCCCTATGGACATGTAGACCAGCCCTATGGACACGTAGACCAGCCCTATGGACACGTAGACCAGCCCTATGGACATGTATATATTTGTGTACATATTTGCTTTTTAAATAAAAGAATAAAACACGTATAATTATCATACGTTATATCGTTTACATAATAGGTCAATTAACTCTTAATCTCAATAGTAGAGCCATCTCCCATTTCCAGTATTCTACACTATATAAAATTTTATTCACTGTTCAACAATATTTTCATTTCGGTAGCAATGTGAATTATATAAACCGTTGTGTGGTGTTTTGACCAATGAGACGCGTCGTTACATAGCGCCTATTTATAATCTAACCCAATACTACGACAACAACAAAAGCGACGTTGCCATTATGCACTTTCCAAGAAACTGATGGGAAAAGGAATACTTTTGCTGGACTGTATATACAAGAGACAAGACTCACGGTTAATACGGATGGTCTGGGTTAGGCTGTGGTGAGGGCGGTCGGTGCAGGCTAGGCTGAAGTTGCTCCCGCTCTGAGTCACATGCTCCATCACCATCTCAGAGATGTAACACAGTTCCGAGTCATTTCCTGAGAAAGGGTTCATGTTGTCAGCCTCAATATTATGCAATGAGTAGAGTCTTAGAACAACAGGATTTGTTGAGTTTTATTACAACAGGACGAGATGAGTATGACTTTGTTATAAATTATTTGAAAAGTATGAGGAAATATATATTTAGCAATATAAAAAGGTTAGGTAAAGGTATGTTAGGTTAACATGTGTTTAAATGTTGGATGTCTAGTGTACAAGGAATATATATAAGGGATTAAGGATAGGTTAGGGTTGGCTGGGTTATGTTCGTGTTGGGATAGGTTAGGGTTGGCTGGGTCATGTTCGTGTTGGGATAGGCTAGGGTTGGCTGGGTTATGTAAGGGAAAAATGCTTTAACAGCACTTTACAAAAATAATACAAATTTGTGGTAAGTTAGTGAACTGAGTATTTGTGTGAGTTTTTGTAAAGGTTTACAAGTGTAATTGTGAATATTTGGGAAAGTTTGTTCATGTTTGTTTATAAGCAGGTGTATGTGCAAGTTTGCTTTTAAAGGTAAAGATTTGCATACGTGTCTAGTAAGTTTGTTATTGCAAATTCGTGTTTATAAATGTAACTGCATGTGTATTTGCATGTTTGTGTAAGAGTGTATGTGTTTTGTGAGAGATGTATAAATTTGTTTAAGTTTATGCTGGTTTGTGAATGTAATTGTATGTGTAGCGTACATATTTTGTGTAAGTATTTATGCAATTTATGTAAAAGTGAATGTGTCATGGGTATTATATGTAAGTCTGTATATGTTTGAGAGTGTAACATGAAGGTAACTAAGTATGAAAGAGTGTTGTCTGGGTAAATAAATATTAAATGAAGAGTTGATGTTTCAGAAAGAATAAGATGCTACTTTAATTAAGTTATGTAAGTTTGGCAGGCTAAATTAGTTAAGTTACGTCAGGTAGATTAGGTTATGTAAGTTACATCAGGTAGGAGAGGTTAAGTAAGTTGCGTTAGGTAGGTTAGGTAATGGGAAGTTTATTTAAGTTAGGTTTGGTAAGTTACATAAAGTTATGTCAGTTAGGTAAATTGTGAAAGTTAGGTTAAGTTACATAACGTAGGGATAAGGTTGGTGAGGTGAGGTTAGGCTAGGGATCTCTGGCGCTCTCTCTCCTCTATCTCTTCTCTATCTCTCTCTCTCTCTCTCTCTCTCTCTCTCTCTCTCCTCTGTCTCCTCTGTCTCCTCTCTCGCTCTCCTCTGTCTTCTCTTTTTCTCTCTCTCTCTTTGCTTATTTCCTACCTCCTTCTGTCTCTCTCCCTTTGTTTCTCTCTTCTCCCTTTCTGTCAGTCTCTACATTTCTCCTTTTCTTCCAATCTGTATCTTTTTACATGCAATAATGATAATTATACCTAATAATTCCAATATATAATAGTTAGTATCAACGTTTTAAAAACTTCGCTCTAAAATGTTATATCGTAACATTTAAAACACCTTTTATTAAAACATTATCATATTGAATACTCGTTTACAAATTCTCAAAACATGCGTATAAACGTGAATAAAAGAATCAAATGTCATTTATCAAACGTTTAGAAAACGAAAAAGTGTTTTGTGGGTAAGTGAGATTAGGTTTGTTGGGATAGGTAGGTAAGGTTAGGTAAGTTGGGATGAGTAAGTAATTATCAAAAAGAAGGCACCAAACAGGGAAGGCTATGTAGCACCATCAAATGTGGGAATAATCAGAGGGCGCTAAATATCACTAAGGATGCCAATACGAGAACAGAAACGCATAAGGTGAACGATATCAAAAGTATCCGAATCACCAAGAATTCTTTCGAGGAGCAAGTGAACGCGAGGGCCTGTTGGAAAGCAGGACACACGCTCGTCCCGGATGTCAGGACATTCAACAAGGATATGCACGACGGTAAGAGGGACAACGCAATTTGGACAATAAGGAGCTGAGCAGCACCGTGAGTTAAGCGGGTATGACCAAAACACAACCGTGCTAGAGCCGTTTCCCACCGCCGGTTACGGTGGCAGGAGGAAGGCCACGGGGACACACAATGCTTAAGAGTATGCAGTTTGTTACCAACAACAGAAGACCAACAACCCTGCCAACGGGCAAGGATAGAGTAATGAATAACCTGATAAAAGTCGGAAAAAGGAATACCTTTACGGGAAATGGGACAAGAGCGGATAGCCTCTCTAGCGGCAGCTTCCACACGCTCATTTAAAGAAACACCAACATGGCTGGGAACCCAACAAAACTCCACAGATTTAAATTTACCATAGATAAGAAACAGCCAATGTTGAATCTCGACGACAACTAGATAGACAGGATTAAAGGACCCGAGAGCCATAAGGGCATTACGAGAGTCAACGACAATCACAAAGGAAGACTGACAACGAGAAAGCAGGAGACGGAGAGCATGGAGAATAGCATAAAGCTCCCTTGTGAAGATCCTAGTCTCTGAAGGGAGGCAACACATAAGTGCAGTCAGGAAAAACAACAGAGTAGCCAACACCATCCGCGGACTTAGACCCATCGGTGAAGATGGAAATGGAGTAGGAGTGTGAAGAAAAGTGCTCATGAAAATGGCGTTTGAGAACCGTAGGAGGGGTAAAAGCTTTAGTAATGTGAGTCAAGGACGTACAAAACTTCGGAAGGGGGACCCTCCACTGGGGCAAGGAAGGAACATTATGAAGAGAAATATGAGAAAGAATAATGGAAAGAGAGACCTGTGAGCGAGAAAGCCGGACAGAAAGAGGGAGGTGGTGAAGAGGGACAGGAACTACAGGAGGGGTAAAAGTCAAATCACAACAGAGGCGAGAGGAAGGATGTTGCAAGGACCGCGCCAGATAGCAAAGACAGTAGTGATCACGGCAGTCCTGGAGAGAGAGGAAACCAGTGTCAACATACAAGCTAAGGGCGGGAGTTGAACGAAAGGCACCAGAGCTGAGGCGCAGCCCAGCATGGTGCAAAGCATCAAGACGGCGAAGAGTAGAAGGAGAAGCGGACAAGTAAGCAGGGCAACCATAATCGAGTTTAGATAGGACGAGTGAAGAATGTAGAAAGAGGAGCGTACGCCTATTCGCCACCCAAGAAGAATGGGACAAAACCTTAAGGAGGGAAAGGCCCTTACAGCATTCAGTGCGAAGGTAAGAAATATGGGCCGACCAAGACAAACGAGTGTCAAAGATTAACCCCAGAAGCTTAGCAGAATCCTTGTACACAAGGGGATGTCCATAAAGAGATAGAGACGAAGAATGACACACTTCCGAGTAAAAGTCATAGCACAAGTCTTAGATGCAGAGAACTTGAAGCCATGATCGGTGACCCAAGTCAACATGGTATCAATCGCCAGTTGAAGCCACCATTGAAGGAGAGGCGAATCATCACACCGACAGCAAAGGGTAAGATCGTCTACATAGAAAACGGAGAAGATGCCAGAAGGAAGAGAGGAAAGACCATTAAGAGCAACAAGAAAAAGAGTAGTGCTCAGAACACTACCTTGGGGCACACTCTTATATTGCCGAAAAGGGGCAGAGAGAGCGGTACCGAGCCTCACTCAAAAGGAACGACGAGAGAGGAAACTTTGGAGGAAGATTCCCACGAAGGCCAAAAGAATGAAGTTAGGACAGAATATGATACCGCCAGGTAGTGTTGTAACCCTTTTCCAGGTCAAAAAGAACGGCAACAACGAAGGTCTTCGCAGCAAAAGCAGTACGAATATAGACCTCCAAGTTCACCAGGACATCTGTTGACATGCGGCATTTGCGAAAGCCAAATTGAGAAGGGGAAAGGAGGTGATAGTGCTGTAAGAACCACATCAGACGAACGTTAACCATACGATCAAAAAGCTTGCAGACAACTCGTGAGGGCGATAGGGCGGAAGTCCTTTGGGGAAGACCAGAGAGACCCCAGTTTCCAAACAGGGAGGACAACAGCGTCGAGGCAGTCCTCAGGGACTGACGATGACTTCCAGACCCGAATAAACAGACTCAGTAAATACTGAGACGAGCACTGAGGGAGATGTCGAAGCATCTCATAATGAATGATATCGGAGCCTGCCGCCGTAGAACCGCAGAGGGCCAGGTCAGACTGCAGCTCTGAGATAGAGAAGGGGTCGTTATAGGGAAGGCAGAGATAGGCACAGAAATCCAAAAAGAAAAATTGAAAAATTGTAGGCGACATATTTTGGCCGCATAGGCGAGGAAGTCTGGCAAAATGTGAGCGTTGACATAGCAGTAGTCAGAGGCAGTCAGCGTCACCCGAGATGAAAGGTGGGAGTTGCCACAAAAATATTATTACCTAATTATTTCAATGTCTCTGACTGACTTTTTCTTAGTTTTTTGCAGTAATATTATTCAATAATGTGTAGTGTGATAGATTTATATAATATAATGTATGAATCATTGCTATACTCAAAAGTATGGCGTTCATATTAGTGATTCAATTATTATGTTCATGAAACAATAAACAAATAGTTTTGCTGTTATTACACTCTATACAAAGGTTATATATAAGTATCTGCATGTTTTGTTCCCCACAACGAACAACCACGTTGGTATTATAAGTCGAAAAGCAACGAGGAGTGACCGCCACACACCAGCCAGCCACTCGCTGCCACTCCCTCAACAATGCATCCCTCGCCCACTTTCTCCTCCCACCATCCTGTATTTTATTTTTATTCACTATATACAGACGTTATATATAAGTATCTACATGTTTTGTTCACCGCAACTGTACAACTAAGCTGATATAGTTAGTTCAGGCACGAAGAGACATCGCTTCACAGTCAGCTGGCGGCTGCCTCCCTCCCTCACTCATTCAAGGTCACACGCACTAACATGTCTCCCCCAACAATACTGTTTGCAGTGTTATTACACTATATACACACACACATTATATATAAGTATTTACATGTTTTATGCACCCTAACTGTACACCTAAGCTTTTAGGGTTCCCAAAGAGCATAGTGGCCACCCTCTACACAGCTAGACACGTCATGCAGACGACGCCCCCTCCGTCACCCATATGGCTCCTCC